AGCCCTTGTAGTTTGAAAGCAGCAGTTCCTCTCTCTTTGGCACAACCTTTACTTAGAATGAGATGTCTTCTCTTTACTCTACTAGACAGGAAAAAAGGTGTTAAGAATGCATTTTTAAACAGTTTAACAGACCAATCCAAAGATGCTGGAAATGGATGGCAGAGGGGGCCTACGAAGGGCCAAGTATTTTTTGTAACTAAGATTATAACTGATTTTATAGTCCTCCTAAGCTCAGTCTTCCTTTGTCTGGTCTCCTGCCATCTCCAGGGTACAAATCACAGGCTGAGAAGTGCGGACAGGAGGGGAGGTAAGAGGAAGCTGCTGAGTGCACAAGTTTGCGTTCCTGGCTTGGACTGCAACTCCTGGGGGGCTTTAAGGAAGGTTCTGAAAGGGAAATGGATAATTTAATTGCTGCATTAGAGGATCTGTGGCTGTTTGTGAATGCAAGCTGCTCCACATCTTAATCACCTCACTGCTCAGGGCTTTGTGCTCTCCCCACTGAACCGAGGGCATACACAGCGGTGGCAGCCTCCTGAAATACATATTCAATATACTAAAACAAACTCTCTTCAGGTAACTCTGGCTGTTCAAGCTCAACTCATTCTTTTAGTTTTTTAGGATTAAAACCAGAACAGAAATAGGGAAAATTAATCCTATCTCCCTGCCCTACTCCATGTCCTGCTCAGAGCCGCATGGAAGATGGATGGTGAATCAGTTCCAGAGAATTTGAAAAGCTGCTAAAACCATGTACTGGGTTTATTAAGCATCCAGACTTGCACCTATGCTGCGCATCTGCCAAGGAAGTACAAGCAAGTGCCCTACAGCAACCAGAAAGTAGCAGCACACTGGTGCTGAGCACACTGCAAAGCGCAGCAAGATCTGAATCTCTTTGGGTGCGTCTTATTACCATTTGTGTGGGTTGGGTATGTGGTTGCCTGAGTGTTTTGTTTCATTTGTTTCCCTCTACTTTTATTCATGTGAATGAAAATGCTGTCAAGGAATTGCAAAGCAAAGAGTGAGGCTTTTCCTATCATCGCCTGTGCGCTATTTAGAAATCCTGAGCACAGAGATGCTGAAAGGGGAGGCTGTAATTCTATTCCAAGATTAATCCAGATTTTCTCCTTAATGACTCCTCCTTTATTCTGCCACCGGAAATCTTTCCAAGATTAAAGTGCACACAAGGACAGTGCAGGAGAAACAGCCAAGTATCACCTCACTCAAACCTGTTCTATCCACCTGCTCAGAGCAGGATTTCATCAAATTTCCCTTTTTCTTTCCCGTAAGTATGGCAATAGCAGTACCACTTGCTGATGAGGTGCAAGCAGCACCACGGTGGGGACTTCAGTGTCCCACAGCAATGCAGTGTACAGGATAACTCTTACCCTCGCTATGAGAGAGCAGAGCTCAACTGCTGGAAGGGATTGGTTGTCCAGGCAGTTTTTAATTCCTTAAATTGCCAGATGCTGCAGACATCTTGAAGTACTTATGTTGAAGGATGCATCAAGGCTGCATAAATCCTGCAGGGAGGCGCTCAGAAGTTAAGCAGTGGTTGCAGTGTCGCTGGTAGTCAAGTTCTCCAGGTTCTTCTGTCTGGGGAAGTTCGAATGCAGTCCTAGAGACACATACACTTGCAGAAAGCAAGTTTTTTAAGCCAGCACAAGCAAGACTTCTCACTCACAACCTTTGTTTTTTGCTGCAATACTATTTAACGTGAGATGGGAACAATCTTTATAGCTCAGCTCCAGCGCAAAGGCACTTTAAATTAGAGGGTAATCTACCTACATCTGTTCCACGGGCAGCCTTGAATGACTACACACACAACTTCACATTAAATTATATTTGCACCTAGTCACTTCAGGCCCTGTACAGCTCCAGAATACTTTATCAGAAACCCCTGTGCAGCTAAGGAATCTTACTGATTTTTCAGTAAATTATGCCATCACAAGAAATCTATTTCTAAGTAAAAGTTTTTAAGAAATCAAATATATTCTGTAGCCCTATTTATCTCATTATCCATGAAATGACTCAAAGATCCAACACAGCTTTAAGCTTTGCTCTTGATTAACTCCCAACCCACCACGGAAAAGAAACCACATAACCTGTTTTGGAGAACCAAATCACAACTGAGCAGCACAGTCTGCAAACAAAGTTTCAAGGACCTGATCAATGAACTAAGGTCATGCACTAAGGCTGAAGGAGGAAGCTTGACTCTCCTTCGGGGTATTCTGCTAGCACAAAGCCACACAGATGAAGTGTCCTAAGTCCCAAGGCACTGCTGGAGCACCTTGATGTGTCTCCAGACTATATTATGCTTCCAAGGGCTCCTTCAGCCTAGGAAATGCTACACATGTTGCTTTGTCTCATTAGGCTGCAATTTTCTTCAATAACCTTCTGGCTTCAGGTACTTTGATCGTGGATCATGCTGGCACACATGTGCTGCTGTTGTGCTGCTCCTTGCAGTCAGATGGTGCCTGGAACCCACTTCAGTCATAAGGAGGGGCACCCTCCCACCTGTTCTCTTCTCCCTTCCTCTGCATAGCTCTGTGCTCTGACACTTGAATGCAGGGCAATTCCCTGCACCCCAGTGTTACTGGGAACATATTTGTTATACAGAGATACAGCACTGCTTCAAGATCTGAGAGAACTGCGTATTCCCCATCAAAAGACATGGTTTTTTTTTCCTGTAGAGAAATCAGATTCACAGATCTGCAGTTTCTTTTGACATCAGCCGTCGTATGGGCTTGTGTTTCTTGCCAACCCCAAGTACCCACCTGCCTCTTCCCCTGGCTAGCACATCCCACATTTCAGTGGCTGAGGCTCAAACAGAACCTCACCTCCACTTCCCAAGTTCTTCTTGCCCTTTTCCACAGAGGATCTTAGATCTGTCACTGTCAGATGAAGCCCAGGTAAGTTTTTCTATCACTACCACACTAAACCATCCAAATAGATGAATACTACAGACACCCAACGTGACTTGTACACCCAGTCTGGAGAGGGACTTAGCAACAAGCACTTAGGTCGGATGGATGCCTGGAGGCTGCTATGAGAAATCCCAGGAGACTTGGGCTCTTTCAAAAAATGGAATTTAGAAAAATAGGAAGGTAGGATACCTATTATCGCTTCAACGTGCTCCTTTGGAAAGGACCCCAGCAGAAGCTCGCTGTACTCCAGCCATTCCCTGGCACTTGGCATGATGTTACCATCCAAAGGACAACTTTTCCCTCTTGAACCAAGCAGTACCAAACATTCCTCATAGCACACAAACCTCAACTTGTGGCTCAAAGGAGACACATAACAACTCAACCCTCCCTGGTCTAGTGGAAGGTGTCTCTGCCCATGGCAGTGGGTTGGAACTAGATGAGCTTTAAGGTCCCTTCCAACCCAAATTATTCTGTGATTCTATAACTCTATGATTCTATGTGTGCTAAAGTCCCCCAAAAAGCCAGTGGGACTCCAGGACAATAGACATAACAGATGAGAGCAGAGTAAAAAAAGCCATTAACTTCCATCAACAGAAACATATTTTTCTTTCACAAATAACATCCATTAGCAGCTCCAAGAAGAACAATACCCACTCTTCAGCTCTGAAGGAGTACACAGTTTTCCGGCAGACACAATACAAAGATTTTGCAGAATTCAGGCATTCAACGGGACTAATGTGAAAGATTATTTTGCAATTATCCAAGCAATTTTCTCTCCTCATTGTCCCTGGACCATACAGGTTTTTAAATGTGAGCAGAAGGATTTATTCATCACAATAATAATATAATGAAATACTAAATCAATGAATCTCTTTGCATGAAGCATAAAGCTCACATTGCTATTAAGCTTAGTAGCATCCTGTCACATAAACCACACACAGTTTGTGTACTTAAGTACCATCTCCCTCTTTTATTTTTCTCTTCTGTAATTTGTAAGGCATTATCCTTCCTTTTGTCCTCTGAACGCAACCAGATTCAGATAACAGAGTGTTGCTTCTTGTTAGTGGCTCCATGCCTGTGCTCTCTTTACAAAGGCATGTGAACATTTATATTTAATCCTGATTTTTAACAATGGCCAGTGCAGAAAATTATGCTGGGATGACAGAAAGTCCTAAAATAAATACATACATACATAAGTAATAATTTAAGGAGAATTAATTCCTTATAAGCAACACTGCCAATATGCAATTGAGTAGCCTGGCATGAAAATGAGTGCATGTCTTTCAAGGTTTGGCTGGAGAAAATCAACCCTAACCTAAGCAAAAGTCAATTACAACCTTTGGAGCATGGAAGCATTGGAGCATGTTGGCTGTGGCTTGTATTTCCCTCTCTGCCATCCCTTGCAATATAAAGTGATAAATGTCTTTCAAGGTCTTTGTGTTAGGTAGGTCCCATTTTTATAAAAGATTTATCTGGTAAAGTGCAGAAACAGTCACTGTTTAGGTATTTATAAGGTGTCAACTGTCCCCACAGTGTGACACTTAAAGAGCCGAAGCAAAGATTTTCAATAAACAAGAATCTCTAGCTTTAAGCCTTGAGATTGATATTAGGCTCCACACAAGCAATTACTGTTTCATTAACAACTGCCACCTATAAAGATCCTGTATTTTTACAATTTAGGCTCTTCTGGGTAACACCTCCTGTATTTTGTAACCCAAAGGCCACCAAATGAATTCGCTCTGGACAGCAATTCATCTTGCCCAAGTTAACACATCCACAGAGCACAGCCATCCACCTCTGAACATGCACCTCCCTTCGAAGGTGGTGTCCTCCCTAGAGCAGGAGCCATGGCACTCTCATGCAAACACCTAAAATGGGTCAGATGAGTCATGCCTGTAATCTCCCTGTTTTTCTCCACTGATAAAGCATCCAGATCAGGCACAGGTATTTACAGCTATGCAAGATGAATGCTGTCCTAGATGATTTAAGCTGAGCTGACACACTATAGAACAGCTACAGTCAACTTTAACGCACAAACCCCACAAGAAGGCAAGACCATAGTAGCTACATCTTTCTTACCATGATTGGGACACCAATGTCTGGCCACAAGAGATCCTCAGAGGGAAGCTTGGGAGAATTCCACACTACCACAACTTTATTTAAGTACGGGAGACCATTGAGCCTTTCTAGAGAGTTCATCAACACTTCCTCCCGCTCGTAAGTCAACATCACTACTGTGAACTGCTCCCGGGGAACGTTGCCACCCAAAGCAGCCTGGAACTCCTTCCCAGAGCCACCTGCACCTCCACCAATTGGTCGAAATCCAGTCCCAGACCCCAAAAATTTTGCTTCTGATGGTAAAACAGGGTCAAAAGGAGTGTAGGGGAAAAGGTGGAAAGGCCCCGGAGCAGAATTCCAATTCCTGTAAATGTCCATTGCAGTGAGGGTGAAATTGCGGAGATATTTAGGAGATGCATAGGGTGGTTCTGTTTCCACAGGCCCCAAGTCCAGGTCACCATTGTCTGCCATATTGGGGTCTGTACCAGCAGCTTTGCCAGACCGGTGGGGAATCTCCACAGCAGCTTCTTCTCGGATAGGAGCGGCCGGGATTTGGATTCGAGTCCTTATGATAGCTAAGACTGTGCTGAACACATTGTCAGAGGTGGAGAAGTAGGTCTCCCACAAGAAGCGGCCCTGCCTCCTCATTGCAAGGAGATCATTGTCAGAAATGCTTCTCAGAAGAAAGTGCACTTCTGTGATACGTGGCTTTGGTATAATTAAGGCTGCCTCGTTCCACCGGATCACATCATTATAGGGTAGCTGAACTTGCTCTCCGAGAACCACCGGGATGGCTCCAACTTCCAGAGCCTCAAACAGTCTCATGGCACACCCTGCGGAGATCACTAAATGGGTGTCCCCCGGGGTGATTATCAGTGCAAATGTAGATAGCTTCAGTAGCTCTAGTCTGTCATCCCTTTCTCCACACAGAGCCCACTCAGTGGGCAGACTCGCCTTAGGCTGGTTCTTACACGTGAACTCCACCAAAACAAAGTCCAACTTGCTGTCCTGAACAGCCTTCAGGGTAGTAATGATCCGATCGTCGTAGTCAGCTGGGGCATTGCCTTCTATTTCCTCTTCGAAAGAGCGAACCTCTTGCAAGCTAGATCTGAGAGACTCAATCTTCTCCCCCTGGAAGCTAAACAGGTATTTACGCTTGACCGGCACCTGGGGTGGGATTTCTAGGAAATTGGGTTCAGACATAGCGTGGACCAGAGGTGATACCACAATATCAAACCCTGGTCGATACTGCACATCATAAAAGGTGGACTGGGCAATCATGGCGCGCCCTGTGCTGATGTTGTAAATGAAGTTCTGAGTTTCTGATTTCCTTGATAAACTGATGATGAGATGGTTATGTCCATCCGTCCTCCAATATGGCAAAGAGTGCAACTGTTGCTCTAGTTCAGTAGGTTTTGGCATTATGGGCTCTTGCATTTCCCCCACTAAAATTATATACACACAAGCAATATTTGCATTTTCAGTAACATAAACATTAGTTCTGACAGTCGCCTCAAAGGCTTGTTTAATTAAAGGGTCTAAGGAGCTACCAAAAGGGTAATCGTCACTGTTGTAGACATAGACTGGAAAGCCAGATGTCAACGGGCAGCGTGAGTAGTCAAAGCAGTTGTGCAGCCTGCAGTTCCGGTTGGATTTTGGCAGGGGGAAGGTCACATCGTCTTTGTCTGGCAGCAGCCGGATGGGCAAGGAGAGCTTGGGCTGGTTCTGAGCCATCAGCTCTTTGTAGGAATGCTCGGTCTGACTGATGACGTTCTTCAACTGCAGCAGGTCCTGCTTGGCATTTTCAATGCTCTTTTTGCAGGCCTCGATCTTCAAGTTGAGCTTGGCAATCTCACTGTTGAGCTCCTGCCGCTTGGCCTCCAGCTGGAGCAGCTCCTCACTGACTGACTCGCGGATGCGGCACAGGTCTTGCACATGCTTTACCTCGCACAGCTCGTTGCCAGTCCGAGGGCCAAAGATGCGCTTGCCAGCATCGTCCGCATCATCGATGGTGGTTAGGTAGTAGTGAGCAATGAGGGGAAAGAAGACGAGGATAATGAAGAGCGTGAAACTAAGCCACGTGAGCCGGATCCGACTGGACCATCTCAACATCCACGGCTGGCCTCCATTCCCCACTCCCCCATTCCGCAACATCGTATATCCAGTCATGAGTTCAAAAGTCACTGTGCGCCCAATCACGTTGGATCAGTAGCCATAACCAAAATAGTTTTTATAGCGAGTCTCTCAGAAAAAGATGTTATTGTGCCTGCTTAACAAGAAGCCAATAGAAGCGGAATTCCATCTTCTTGTCGTGATGGCAGCTTTTCTACAGTTGTTTTGCTGCAGGCGCAACTTCTGATCCCTTTAGACTTGATCATTGACCTTCTCACCCACCCCCAGCCCACCCTTGGTCTGTGGGTAACCTTTGCTGGAAGTGTCACAGTGTTGTCATGGTGATTCAAAGTCTCAACTGGCAGAAGAAAAACACAATGGGATCAAGCCAAACTCCACCGCTGCTCTTGACATCCTGCATTACCATCCAATGAATATGCAGAGGCACCAGCCATTGTGGAGAAGGAGCCAGAAGAGACTCGTACGAACGTCAGTCTCTCTCATCGCTGCCGCACAGCTGCTGCTCTGCCATTCCTACAAGAGAACAATCACATATTCAGATAATGAAAACAAAACGACCCCTTAGTGACTTAAGATACCGCTAGTTTTTAAAAGCTCTCTGCAGAAGAGCTACCTTTGCATATGTCTAACACCTCTGGGGTTAATACCAGTAAACCTGACAAAGTGATGGGATTTATTAGACGCGGACACATGGTTTTCTCTGGGCACTCTGCTTTTCATTAGGGTTGCATGCTTCAGTGGCCAGACTAGAAAAAATCACAGGCCCTAGATCTGGTTTCCTATTTCTGCCACTGTCTCACTGTGTAACTTTACTGAAGCTGCTTAATATCTGCAAGCCCCTGTCTCCTCATGTACAAAATGGAGATATTCATGTACACCTGCTCTCTCTTCCCGCCTTTTAATGGCATGTTGTGATCCTGGGACACAGCAGTACTGTGAATTTGTACTGCATAACTGAGTGTAATGACTATTGTTCTGGTCTAGTGACTAGAGCTGATGAGGAATTTTTAGATGAAGTGTTTTGCCTTCATTTCCTGCTGGAAAATTTTGATTCATTGCAAGAGAAAGTTTAAAGGGAACGTACTCATGTTGCTTATGACAACCTCCACTGGCAGGCTGCACATAGAAGAGAATTTCTAGTTGAAACCGGAAAAGCCTGCACTGTACATCCAAATCTGTTGGGTACCACACCGCCACAGTATCAGCCTGCTTAGATTTGCCTTTTTGCTTGGAAAACTGGGATGACATTGAATGCCTACCTAGCATGGGCATAAAAAAGCAAGGATGTGGCAAGTTCAGCTCTGAGTCTTTGGTCTATACTAACAGATTTAAATCTAGGCCACATGAAAATGCTGCCACTAGAAACTCTGTCTTCCCTTTTATTAGCATCCTCTGAGGTACCCAAGTTGCTGGGATATTCTTTCATATACTGGACTTCCCACATCACTGGTGAATATAGTGCAGGGCTTAGCTTTGACTCTTGCACAGCCTCAAGAGAAGCTTATTAATTTCCGCTTCACTTTTTAATTAGAGGAAAGTCATCTACACTGGTGACGGTCATTTTTCACTAAATCTATTTAATCCTCCTCTCATCTACTCATCAAGAGTTAGCAGAAAGACGATGAGGAAGCAAATCTCAGCTGAAACAGATCTGGAAACAGTCCAGAGCAAAAGAGAAGTTCATCTTAAAGGAGCAGAAAGAAGTCAGGAATTATTTTTCAGTGTAGTACACAAGTGTGTGTCAGAAAACATAAATGAAAGATTTGATTTTAACCAGGAAAAATCATAATGAAAAGGGAAGCAACTGCAGTAACAAAACACAATTTTTAGGCCTATTTTGTTATGCAGCCCCATGACTAACTGGGGAATCCCACAGCCTGACCCACAACTGAGTTGTACAGCAGTATGGACACTTAAAATTAAGGCAGATTTTAAATTCATAACATTGTCTGGCAAACAGCACTGGTGTAAATCTCAGAAAGCCGGGAGGATAAGAGGGCTAAAAGTCAGCAAAAGGCTACATCAGCTTTCTTGGATCTTGGCAGCACAGTCACTGTGGGCAGATGGGGGAGGCTTCAGCTCTGCTGCCAGGACATTTTAATACTATTCTCTGTGCACCAACTTGCAATTGCCCAGGCTGGGAGGGAGGCTGGTGATAAACGTAAATCCCCAGCACTTCTGCATGGGGCTGTCAGTCAGGGCCAGGGAGCCCTGGCAATAGCAGCATACTTGTATCATGCCTCTGGGACTGCTGCTACCCAACAGAAGGGTTTTAGCATGCATCAGTGTACAAACCAGGCAACTGAAGGCAAAAATAATCATAATTAAAAAAAAATGTTAAAGTCTATTTTTCTTTCTTACCCCCCGTTCCCTTTCTAAGCTCTCCCCAGGAAATAAAGCTCATACTATCACTGGTGTGTGTGTGTACCAATTGGTCAGCCCCTGCTATTTCAATCTGGTCTCATAGGGACTGCAAAGATCCTCGAATTGCTACCAGCTTTCTGCAAACAGTTGGCCAGATGAGAGCTGCCCTACCAATCCTTTTCCTGAGGGATATGCCAGTGCACACACTCATACGAACATCAGTGAATCTAAAAAAAAGCTTAATTTCAAGGTAAATGTGGGAAAACAAGCTCTGCTGCTTTTTCATTTGCAGGTGCCATGGGATAAATGTGGTCTAACCCTGCAAGGTGTTGAGGCAACACAGAAACAAGGGATCATAAATGTGGTTAAGACAGAATAAGGTGGCATGTGGACATGTTACTTTGGTCTGGCCAGAGAAAACTGCAGCCCAAGAAGCAATAAAGTCAGTCCCAGAGGTTACCAGATGAGACTACATCTAAATCTTGTTCTTTTGTAGCTGCTTTGCCCATTTATGAGCCCTAAACAGTAATGAAATGGCAAACTGGACTCCCTAAAATGGCAACTGGGGTCCTTGAAAAGCTAAATCCATCATCCCAAACATGATCCTCTGCAGCTGTTCTGCCACCTAATCCTTCCAGTGGCTCTTCTGGTCCTTCCGTTCAGTTGACACAGAACAAACTTTATCCTCCTGACCTAAAAATATGGGCTGTGAATTAAAAAAATGCATATGCTCAGAAACCTGAAGCTGACAAGCTGACTCTACCACTAGCTTGGGAAAGACCACATAGGAAAGACCAGAGCAGGCTGGAGAGGGATTTAAAATGCAACATGCGTGGCTTGGGATCAGTTAGAAGTATTGACTGTCAGTATGAAATATGTGCTGGCAATAAAGCAAGCACTTCAGACACACTCTCAGAATCTTCTTCATTACTAAGACTTTATTCCTCATCAACTCGATAGAGCCTGAGGTTGTAACGCATTGTTATTAGGACTTCAAAAAAAACGCAAAGTAAAAACCCAATGTGTGGTTTTACCAACAGAGACTTCACTGTCGGATTTAAGAACACTAAGCAGCCCTGAAGAAAAAGGCTGCTGACTTCCACAGTTTTCCGAAATAAGTTTGGGAGGAGAAGAAACAGATTAGTTGCTGGACTTCCCAGCCAACTCATTCCTCTCCCACCCAAGTACTATTTAGTCCTTTAAACTGACTAAATCCCATACCAAGAAATTCTTGTTGACATTATAACACAATGTTGCTGCCTGGCAGAGCTAATTACACACACACAAAAGATGTGGCATGAAGAGCTCTTAGTAAATCAGATGCTCAATAATTATCAGAGACTCTTCCTAAATGCCAATCTGACTGACTTGCAGGCTGCAGTTCTTTCTCCCATGGCACAGGGCTATGAGACTAAACTGCTGTTGGAGCATGTTGTCAGATCTCAGTTCAAACCTTGGGCTGTGTTTGCAGCTTTCCTCAACTCCACAGTAGGCAGTCCCTGTGCCAGTCAAGTTACAGGAATACCTGAGGTTCTCCTTCATTTTACATTTCTAGTAGAAAGAGCCAAGCTGGTTTGATCTTTAGATGCTTGTAAATCATTACTCTGCAAATGTTCACTCACAAAGGTCCTTCTGCAAACACTTGAGCACATCTATTCCTCCCTGCTTACACCTCCTTTTGTCCATCTCCCTACAAAATGAGGGAAACATTGTTCCTTTCTCAGCATATTTGTGAACAGAGCTTGGAAATTCTAAACTTACAGTCCTCCAAAGCTTAACACAGGAACAAATAACCATTAGGCAGACCATGGTGACACAGAATGCATTGAACTTCCCAGGAGGAAAATCCACAGGGATCCTACATCTGCTAAATTAGAGCTCCCAGACTCTGTCCCTCGGCACTCATACTCATCCTTAGTCTCTTTTCCTCAACAAATGATGGGTTTGCTATGTGACCTCCACAAGCTTTCTGCTGTGCTGGCCCTCTCCATGGAGAAGGAAGCACCGTACCCACCTCTGTCATGCAGGCTCCCTCCCAATCAACAGCAAAGGATGTCAGGGAGTGTGTGTTAGCAGCTCCTGTCCTTTATCTGTCAGGTCTTGAATAGACAATTTCTATTGCCAAGTCTCTTTTTCACCAGCACTAAAAATGAAATCAAATGGGGGAAAAAAAAGTCACTTTTTTTTATAAAGGAGAAGCAGAAAATGCTGCTAAACAAAGGAAACAGAGCATATTCCTCCCCCCTTTAGAACAGGGTTTCTGGTGAAATGGAAAAGAAACAAACACAAAATGGCCCTTCAGCAATGATAACATTCTACTTCCTAATGCTCTCAAAGGAAAGGATTACACTCCAAATCTCCGATCACTTTGGGAACAGGAGCAATTGAACAAGGAGACTAAATCGATTAGGTGTGTGCTTTAAAGTATGTTTCAGAGCAGATCTTTAAAAGGAGCAGATGGAAAATTCACTCTGAAATGCTCCATGTCCTACAGCTGCAGGGATCATCATGAGGGATTTGTACCATCTCGAGAGCTCACAGGTACAGAGAAATTCTCCTAGGCTAAGATCAGTGCTGCTACACACACAACCAGTAAAAAGTCTTGTAATCTTTAAATTCCGCGGATAAACTGCATCCCTGGGTTTAGGAAGCTTTTATCTAAACCAAGGCAC